GTTAAAAAAACTTTGGTGGCTATTATAATTTTTTTTTATATATATAAAAAAGTCAGACCGAAGCTAGAAAGTTGTCACCGCACCTAGCCAGGACCGATGAGAAAATGCAGATTTCAATGACTGCTTTTTCGAAAAGCTGTCAAAACGCAGTTTATCCCAACAAACAAAACTGCGGCTCCACCGCACCGTCGCCTCAAACAGAACCATGGTAAGGGTACTGGAGGCCCACCCAAAAAATTTCCTCATTGAACATACAATATTACATAAGTCTATTGAGATGTGGGACTAATTGTTGTTCGAGATTTTCCAGTATATTTACAGGAAAAATTTATATAAATCCTATTTAATTCTTATGTATTTATATATCTAACAGATGAACTTTAATTTTTACATGCATGCCACCTTACCTACGCATAAGAAAGTATTACTTTTTAAAGGTTACCATGGTGGTACTTTTTATTTAATATGAAAGGTTTATGCTTTAAATATGTAAATACATAGAGGGGTCAAGTGCTCATAATTTCATAAATTCATTTATCAAATGGATTAATCAATTTTATGGTAAGTAAACTTTAAATAAATTTTTTCTTAAAAAAATTATCAATTATATATCATTTTTAGTTGACAAAAAAATAATTTTTATATAAAAAATTAAAATATTATTATTTAAATAAGATAATATTATGAATATTAATAATGATTAATTTTTTAATAATAATAAAAATAAAAATAGTATTTTATTTAATAAATTATTATTATTCTTAAAATATGCCATATAAAGTATTAAAAAAAAAGATAATCTTCTCTTAATAAACAAATGTGATAATTTATTTTATAAAAAAAATTATCATTATTTTCATAAAAATATTTTACTCAAAATCACTCGAAAATAATTTTCTTATAAAAATAATCCATAATTTTTAAAAAATTATTTAATCGGAAAATACACATTTTAGTGCAAAAAATCGAAGCACCAAAATACTAATATATGTAAATATAAATGTTTAGATGCGAAATATGTAAATACATAAGACTTGCATGGTATACATGCAAATTTCCCCAATATTTGTATGCATTTTTCTTATTTTTAAAGCTCTTATGAATGATAAGTTAATGTCCATTCCTTATAATTAATATAAAAAATACATCATATTCCACAGTAAACAATCTAATTGTAATGAAAAATTTGCAGATAACTTCAAACTAAACAAACTAATTATTCTCAACCTAAATTAATACCAAATGCTTAATTTGTCCTAATCAAACTCATGAAAATTTGATGGAAACATACAATTCTACAATCATCAAAGTCATGGACTGTGATGAGCACCAATAATTCCATTTATGATGGTTATTCCAAAGAAACTCATATGATGGATCAATTGAAAGCTTTTGAAGCTATTCTAATCTATTGATGTGAGTAACTGTTAGCTAAGCTGTAAAAAATGGAAGATTACAAATGCCTGCAGCAGTGATCTCTCATGTCTGAAAGTATATGACAATGGCCTATTCATTCTCTCCTATTTGACTCATGAACAGCAGCATCCAATACCAGCTTTCATCTTGCAATTTCATCAATGTTCTCATGAAGAGAACTGCATATGTAGGGTGTGTTTGGGGGCGGCGGTGCGATGACGGTTTGGTACTGCATCACATTTTCTTATGTTTGACAAGACTGCGTTTTGTCAATGTTATCAAAAAGCTGCAGCTAAAAGCAACATTTTCTCACCAAACATGATATCTACGGTGGCTGCCAGAAAACTGAGATCTAATTTCCAAAATAAATGTGTGATTTAAATTTGCTGGTTTAAAAATTTGCCATGAAATGTTACTAAGGGGCCGTTTGGGGTAGCTTATTTGGTGCGGTGACGTTTTGAAAACGCACCTGACCTGTTTAGATAAACTGTATTTTGACAGCTTATTTGTTTTCTAAAAGTTGAAAAACAACGTCTTCACACTGCACTTATCTAGGTGCGGTAA